TTTTTTTTTTTTTTTTTTTAACTGTAGTCCGCCCCTCCAACGGTCTGAGGGACAGTGAACCGGCCCCCTGTTTTAAAAGTTTGAGGACCCCTGCGAGGATACTGTAAACAAGGGGCAGGTGGGAAGAATGGACTGCCCGCTATACAGGATATGGAAAATTCTCCCCAGAAGTTGGGAGAGAGAGACCCCAGAGGTCTCCAGTTCAGCCTCACTTCACCCACTCCGGGCCTCTTCCTTACTCTGCCCTCTCTCAGCAAACAACAGAGGAAACACACCCACCCTACCCAGTAGAGCCCAGTAAGTAGCAGTTCTGAACCCTCAGGAGTCTTTCTTTTTTGTTAATTGACCAGTTTGTCAACTTTTCTCTCCGACCTTCTTAAAAAGGTGAGTGAGAACAAAATAAGTCATTTTCATATTCAGGGCAGAAAACTGAGATAAAAGCACTAGAAGAATAAATGAAAGATAGGGGCAATTCTAAAAGCACTAGAAGATTAAATGAAAGATAGGGGTAGGAAACAGTGTATAAGGAAGAATGAGTTTTACAAATGAGTGAGGGGAAGATTTTTTCAGTTGTGGATTTAAATGAAAATAAACAAATATCAAAACGAACCATTTTCCTCCTCTTTAGCCACAATTTCTGAGAGTTCTGAAAGCCCATATACAGTGCTGTCTGCCCTGCTTTGACAGCTGCCAGCATCTTGCCCTGCTTCCCACTGTAATTACCAATAAGATTAAAACGCTGTTGAAAACAAGGTTGAAAACAAGGTCTGCTCTTTTCTAAGTGCAGACAGTTCTTGAATGATGACTATCATCCTATCATGATCATCATTCAAAACTAAGAAAATTCCATGGTTATGTTTGTAGGTTTTTGTGCCTCTCTATTACCTTTATCTCTGTATTAGGCTTCCCTTCCCAATGCATAAAACTAGCATGTCTGTGTTGTAGAATTATCCAGCACATAGACAAGAGACCATCTATAAGGGCATGCTGGTGTCAGGCCAAACAGAAACTCAGCTTCCAGCATGGATGTCCACTTTCTAATACTTTTTCAAGACTCTTGCTTAAGGAAAAGCGGGCTCACCATAGAGAGGCTGAAGCTGCTGCCATGCATTAGCTATGCTGGGGGGAGTCATAAATTTTGGTTGTCAGCGTTTTCCATGGCTTTGCGGTGAAGGTAGTCTAGCTTTCATGTCATACATGAAATATGTTAGATCTCATCTTTAATGTAGAAACCACAGTTGTTTGGTTATACTCTTTAAGGAGGTTGTGGTCAGTGTTGCAATATTCGTGTGAGATTTAGTAAATTCTTATGTTTTATTCTCAAGAGAAACAATTTATTCTGAGGCTAAGGAATATTTGCTTTTCCTAAGCAGTTTCTAAAGGCAAGCATGTAAGACAATAAGTGGATGTGTTCCGCTTTCGCATCTCAGCACTGTCAAAGGAAAACAGTTCACTTTGCTATGGGCTCTTTGATGTAATCATTGTCTGTACTTTAGAAACATTTGACCGAATTAAAAAGATACAGATCAGACGAGGAAGTACAACGAAGCAAACAGGAGTCAGGGAATAGTTTGGAGTGAAAACAAAAAAAGTCGTGTAAAGCAAAACATATGATTAGAAATCAGTCTTTTTTAAAGTTAAGAGCTATTTTAGAGTTATCTACTGACAAACAGAGACTTCAAATCGTGTGATTGACCCTGTGTTTCCTGTCTATTAAAGAAAATTTTTCTGGTTATTAAATATCAGCAATTTTCTTGCCCAAATTTCAGAAGATAATTGGCCTTCTGTGACTCAAAACTGAATTTTAGGTGAAGAGAATAGTCTAGACCTTATCAGATTCTTATAGGTTCATATTCTAGTATTTGGCTTTTTCTTAAACACAAAGGGATAACAATGAAATCAAATAAGGGACATTCTCAGAGCAACTTCATCTTTGTCAAAGTTGCTGAGTTCCAAGCCAGGCCATCCTCTGGGCCTCTGTTTACTTTGGTTCTTCTGAAGAGATTCACTTGCTTTCTTAGTTTCCAAAACACATAAGGGGAAAAAAAAAACTGAAATTTGGTATTTCTTGTAGTGTTCACCCTCCTTTAAAAGAGGATAAGCAAGCAGGACCTCACAAATCCCCAGGGAGAGAGGCAAGGAGGATAATGCTTAGCTTAGTTTAGAGTTGGGAAAAGTCAGGGCCCAGGAGGATGGTGTGCTTTTCTCGGGCTCTGTGATAACCAGCAAACCACACTGTCATTCTCTGAGACTGCACCAGGATTTGCAATACCTTAGTTTCACAATCTAGACCCCAAGTAATGCCAGAGGTGGTGTTGTGAACCATGAAGCACAAAACTGGACTTCAATGTTTTCTGCTAGAAATCAGAAAGATAATTTGTTCCTCTGAATTTTAAAAATTAAAGACTTTCTCTTCTCTATCAATGGACAAATAAATATGTAGAAAGTGAGCAAAAGGAAGAGAAAAAATAATGATGTGCCCGGCCAGGTAATACATGTTATGTGTGATCCATAGGGTAGCTGTGTCTAAAGGAGAAACAAGGAAATGACTATCTTGTTTCTTAAATGCCTGTGTTATTGAGCATAAGCCGCAGAAGGGGAGAGAAGACAGCATTTCACAGGGAATCCCAATGAATTTTAGGCCCACCTCTGCCAATGAATCAGGTCATTCAATGAATGAGGTCATTCCAGACCTCTGTTTTCTCATCTGTAAAATGAGAATACTGAGCAAGTCAACCTGTAAGTCTCTTCCACTTCTAAAGTCCTGTGACTTTATAGGAAATTCATGGCCTGTTTCTATAGGTTACATAACCCTCTGCTTATGTAGTTTCATGCTACAATTACTATAGTTTTCATTTTGAATGAAATAAAGTTATATGCTGTAGAGTGTATGTTTGCTTTTATCAGCATTTTGACTGCCACTGAATTAAGAGTTATGTCTGGGGCAAGTGTAGACGTTGCTACTTTCTTCCATTACTGGTTTTGCTCCAATAATGCTGAAATTTGGTATGTTTGGAATTATAATAAAGTCCCTTAAGAGATTACTGCAGTTATTGCCTTTCTCCACTTATACACTTCCAGTCTTTTAATAACTGGGAGCCAAAATTCCCTGACCAGTAGTTTTAATTTGCATTAAAAACAGATTTATTATTTACAGAAGCACAAAGAATTTATGGGACTGAGAGCTGCAGCTCAGGCTTGGATCTCGCCTAATCGTAGCCATGGAATCAATTAACAGTTCATCTGTGAAATGTGATAAAATCTTATGAGATACATATTGCCCAATAACTGAGAACGAGATGAAAGTATGCTCCGTAATAGTAACGGGACTTCGGGGTTTTACAATCGCCATTGAATAGAGTTCCATTAGAAAATCAGTATTCAGGATGTCCACAAAAAAAACACTGTGTCTGAACAGATGATAGAGCATTGAGTAATAAACCTGGCCAGCCATTCCTGCTTTGATTAGTTTCCAACACCCTAGAAAAGGGGGCCATTTATTTAAGTGTTCTTGCTCATGGCAAATGAGCTTGTGGGGCTTGGGGTGGGTGGGGGTGAGGGGGAAAGATTGAGTTCAAAGCTATAAATTGCTGCAAAGCTAGTGCCTCCAAGAAGGACTGCTTGGGAGGCCCAGGTAGTCTGGTGTTCCGTGAGCCTTCACGGGGTAGGTCTTATCTAGGAATCTGCTCTGGAAAACCTGGGTTCTTTTCTGACCAGATTGGAGATCATTTTTCAAGATCAGAAATGGCTTTTCATCCAAACCTTGCTTTGCCCACAATTGTGTCTATTTTTGTACATTGGTGGTTTGTATTCTTGTATTATGTCAAGCTTTAAAATGTTGCCCCTCTTAAAGATCATGTAGTCTGTCTCTTACTTCACCCTTGAGAAAACTGCGTCAATGATGCTGAGTGTTTCGCCCAAGATTACAAAGCCAGTGTATGCCAGAAGAAGGATAGAACTGATATGTCTGCTTTTTCCTGAGACATTCAACAGATTAATTGTTCCCACTGGACTGTCTAACTGACTACTGTTAATGCTGCAGAATCAGTATGTCATGAGCCTTACATACAATCATTACACATAAAATGAAGGGCAGGTCAAAGACGTAGAACTGAGATGAAGAACAAACTCAAGAAGTTCTACTATGTACCCCCAGTAATTATACCTGCTTTTTTATATAGTTAAAATGTGCCCAAGGAGTATTCCTAGTAAAGTTGCATTTCTTAGCAAATAGGTTTTCTGAGGTTTAGAGTAAGCTGTAGTAACTATGAGCCCAGGCTCCTGAGTTAAAGAATAGGCGCAAGGGAAACTGCCCCCAGTGTCCCTTATCCTTACCCTAATAGGTTTCAGTGTTGACAGTTTCTCACCCTCTATCTCACTCCATTTTCCCCCCTACCTGTTGCAGTTTTGATACAACAGTAGGATATTTTGGGATGAAGCCAAAGTCTGGTGAGAAGGAGATCACACCCAGCTACGTGTTTATGGTATGGTACGAGTTCTGCAGCGACTTCAAGACAATTTGGAAACGGGAAAGTAAAAACATATCTAAAGAAAGGTAAGGTTCAAATAAAGGTTTTAATCCCCCCACTTCGGGAGTCTAGGAAACTGCCATCTCAAACCTAATGAAATGTACATATATCACCAGTGTTGGTGTTTTCTTTTGGATCAAGTGGACATCTAAGACGGATTTTTGCCTCAGGGTTCACAGGGAAATTCAGGGAAAGCTCGCTGTCCACACAAGCAGATATACTCACGTGATCTGATAAGTTACACTTTCTTAACCCCTTCCAATTACTAGCTAGTAAATGAAAGGAGAGTTGTGCTAATTTGCAACAGATTGCTTCTCTGTGCATTTTCATGTTGGCCCAGGCTAAATGAGGCAGCCTTGCTGTCGCAGACAGTATAGACAAATAAAAGTGAATGCTTTTCCCATTAATATACTGAACTTGCATCAAAGGGAAATCTCTGCGACTCAGGCCACACTTCACACAGCGTTGAAGCCCCGCGCTGGATTTACAGCATCACTTCTGACTCCCCGTATCCTGCTGAGGACATCAAACTGCAGGCCGCTCAGCCTCATTGCCTTCTGATTTTATTAGTTGGGGGTAGAAGAAAAACCTCAGCTCTGAATATAGGGGTGTGTGTGTGTGTGTGTGTGTGCATTTTCCTTAGAGAGACTGAATTTGGCCCTCTTTATCAGTAAAAAGCATTTCTCCTTGATCATTGTTTTGTGCACAGGTTACCATTGTTTTGTAAAGGATTTCATGAATTTAAACTCCAAACATGTCTTGCTACTACTCCTGTGGGACAGATATATGAGAATGTCATTCAAATTATACAAAGTAAGGGAAACAACTTATTTAATTATAGCATTGATACCTCACTAACCATAAGACTTGAAATTCCATAATTCAGGATTTTTGTTCTTCACCTTATAATCAAAGAAGAGATATATAGGTAATATATTTACCCATGCATACCATAACCTACCCTAATATATTGTACCTTAAAACACTGTTTTTAAGGGTATCAATATTTAGAAATTTTGACCTAATATTATTGAGTCTTTAAATCTTTTCTCAAGGAATTGGGGTGGGGGCTTTTTTTTTTTCCTCCAGGAAGCTAAAGAGCTTTAAAAACGTTTATCAAAACATCTTCCCGTCATTAGCTTTGGGTACATGGGAATTTAATTGAGTACACCTTTATTATATAGATAAACTGAAGCAGAGAAAAGTGCCATTGTTAAGAAAATAGGAGCCGGGCTCGGTGGCTCAGCCTGTAATCCCGCGCCTTTGGGAGGCTGAGGTGAGTGGATTGCCTGAGCCCGCAGGTTCGAGACCCGCCTGGGCAACTTGGCGAGACCTCATCTCTACAATAAATCAAAAAATCAGCCGGGCATGGTAGCACATGCCGGTAATTCCGGCTACTCGGAAGGCTGAGGCGGAAGGATCGCCGGAGCCCAGCAGGCGAGGCTGCGGTGGCCAGAGCGACCGCTGCACTCCAGTCTGGGTGACAAACTGAGACTCCAACTCAAAAAAAAAGAAAGAAAATAGGTTGCTGCTAGTAACATGGAAAAATCCTAAAAATCCGACAATTACTTATTTAATCCTTTAAAGTAAGCTAAAATAAGCTTCTATGGAATAAATTCTCATATGAAAGTGCTGGAGTCCTGCTCCTTTTCCTATAACAGCATAGCAGCTGGCCGGTTGGCCCTCCAGGTCCACCCCTTAAAGCTGGGAAATCTGCATTGAGCCCTGAATCAACAGCCTTTGCTTAGAAATTTGCACCTCAGATTCTGAGCATAGTCTCTTGTGAAATTGTCTTTGAGGGTTCCTAAAAATGGTCTAGAACCAGAAAACCAGCAGAGAGGGTAATTAATTGCTTTTCATTCTCATAATCCTCTGTTGAAATACTGAGCTGTTTTCCAAATTCAGGAGTTTTCGCTATCGCAGGAGTTAAACCAAACTAACTGTGGATCTGCTGTGGTGGTGGTGGTCTCCAGCCGTCCTTCAGAATGACATTTTCTCTGATTCCCAGCCACGGGTGTTTGCAGTGTGCTTCCTGGGTGCAGCTGTTGAATTGCCTGCTTCACACTTTGTAAACCAACACCTTTACAGGGTCATGACTTCACAAGACCCTTTGCAGTTCTTCTCATTCAGCAATTCCAGGGATCTCTTCGTTCCAGCCATGGTCTGTGAGATGAATCTCCAAGGTGTCCAACCTAAAATAACATCTCTGAAAGTTAACAATGGGTAATAAAATATTTTTGAAGGCAGCTTGTTTAGGATAATCTGTTATGAAATGTTAGCATGTTATATATATTACTGCTCAACCAGTTAAACAAACTGAGTAATAGCCAAGGTTTTCTTGTGAAATAAGGATTTTTTAAATTGTCCTCTATCTGCAGAAGATTTTAGCTTTTTGACTGTTAGAATCACATTTTCATTAGGGTAAAATAAGCAAAGTAATTTGAATTATTCTATTATAATTAAATGAGACACTATTGGATTGTTTTGTTTTGACACCTTTTTAATGATATTTGATATTATAATCTCAATTATACCTTTCCCAGAAGTCCAATAAGTCCCAACCGCACTAAATGTCAGGCGATAACAATATCATTAACAAGAGTAGTATGAAGACATCTTTAAAAAATAAAACTTAATCACCCATCATAAAATAGGCAAACATGATGAAATAAATTAATAAAATAAAATTTATAACCAAAAAAATAAAACTTATAACCAAATAAAAATCTTATAACATGTAAGTATAAAGAAAAAAACCCTGTAGTTTGGGATCTTATAGGAAGAAATTCACCCCACTTGATTTTTAAATATATTTAAAGGCCAAAATAACGTGAAAAATAAATAAATAAATATATTTAAAAGCCAACTAGATCCTAAAAATCATTGGGAAAAATTAAAAATCAATAATAGTATTTTCAAAAGGTCGGATTCCGTGGTGAATGATGTTTTGTTTAAACTCTACTTCCAAATGAAATAGAAATATTGAAAACTAGTTAGGCCACTTGAGGTTAATTTTCACTGGTAGAGAATATGTACTTCTTTTCTACTTAGCATAGTTTTCATTAATCCACATGGGCTTGATGCAGAGTTGAAATGGATGCATCTCTCTAACACATAACAACTGCCCCCCTTAAAACCCAGAACAATCTTTAATGACTGTATTAGAATGTCCAGTGTTCTGGTGCCTCGTGAGTGAACAATAAACCCTATCATTAAATTGGTGTCAGGGCACGACTCTGTGGTTGAGTAGAAGAAACATAATATTTCACTAGGGAATATGGCTTCCCTGCCAATTAACTATATCATTAGAAGAGCAGTCTACTATGTGATGGTATATTAATGGCATTTGATTTTCCTTGGCATTTAAGCAAGTCTTAAGCAAAAGAGCAAACTTCTGTGTCCAGGTACAAATCCAGAAGCCCCACTCCCTAGACCTTCAGTCTGTATCCCACTCAGTCATTGTGCTGCTCCAAGTATCAAAACTCATCTCCCAGTAAAGTATACCAGTTCCTCTTCTTATCCCTCCTGAGTACAGACAGTACTCCATAGTGTAAAAATGACCTCTAAACAAAGAACCAAAAATCAGCATTTTTACCCTTTGCTCTGCCATTAATTGCCTATGTGATTTTAGGCCAGTCACTTATACCTGGGGACCCCATTGTCACATCTGTAAAATGTATGTATTAGGGTGAAGCAGGAACTAAATGGTGAATGTGATCTCTTCTGGCTCAAAATTTTTACAAATCTAGAAACTACTTTTCTAATTTTCTGAGGAGCTGTGTGTTTCATTTCTGTAATAATGCTTCTCAGCTTTGCTCTTGAGCTCATTAGGGGCTATATTGGAAGATAGTTTAAGTCAGTGACTGGCAGGGGAGTGGGGAAGAGAAATGCTGGCAAGGAGAATTCTCATTGCCCTCTTAAAACTGGCTAATGTCTACACCCTACCTTACCTTAACCTACCCCCAATTCTTCTCATAAAAACTAGTGTTCCTCCTGAAGATTTTTTCCCCCCCGAGTTGTCTCATTCTGCCGCCCAGGCTAGAGTGCAGTGACACAATCACAACTCACCACAGCTTCAACCTAGATTGTGGTGATCCTTCCACCTCAGTCTCCCAAGTAGCTGGGACTACAGATGCGTGCTACCATGCCTGGCTA